GTAAATATAAATAGAAATATAAAATATAAACATATACATATATAATGCAAGTAAATTAAATCATTGGGATTTTTTTTACCCTGAACCTGTCTCTTTACGAAATTGAATGTGATCAGGATAACATCTATTTATATCTCTCTCAATCACATCATATATTGGGAGATCGGGTCTTTTTCGAAGTTCCTATAAAAAACACATGTAATATTATAATATAATATATTAATAGAAAGTTTCAAAAAATATTACATCAATCAATCAAAGAACTTACATCATAATATCGATACTTTCTATACTTTTCTGCACCTGCCATAAATTGCCATGATTTACCACGGACAGATTCTGGAATACCAAGGCGTGCCAATTTTTTAATCTAATAATTAATAGATTGATCAAGTTATTTATTGAAATCTTATTATCTATAATAATTATTAAATCAAATCATACTTTTTTTGAATCTCTTGCCGTATTAGGATTCATAGTACCAAGAGCAACCAACCATCCATCATCACAACAATCCCAAATAGTAAAGTATCGCCCAGTTTAACATTAAACTCGAAAAATCATGAATTATCATCAAAAATAATCATTCATTCATCAGTTCCTCCCACTCATCGTCAACATGATGATCATCAGAATAGTTCATCATCATCGTTAAATAATAATCCTGAAATTTTAATATCAAAAGAACAATTATCACCAATAAATAAAATCAATCGTAATAAAGGACTTGAAATCATCGTTAATCAAAAAATATCATCAAATCATTCATCATCAACAATCCCAAATTCAACTTCGCCAAAACTTACAAACCACATTAATACAACTGAGATAAATCAAACTTATCAACTGAATTCAAGAAATTTAAATAATCATAATCATAATAACAGAATGCAAGTATCACCCAGAATTTCACCCGCACCCTTGCCAAATTCAGCACATTCTATAAATTCTAAATCAATCAATCAAATCTCATATAATGGCCAACTTTCACTAAGAAGTGCATCTCCTATCTCACAAAATTCTATAAACAATTATAATAATGTTTCGGAATATCAAAAGAATCAATCAATGAATCCAAACATCGTTTCTAATAAAATAGGTCATTATTCACCATCAACTTCACCATTACCATCACCAGCTTTTCCAAAAGTTATGATAAATGATTCACCTATAGTAGATAGTGTTGGCGATG